TTTTAATTTTATTTAATAAATTGTAAATACTTTTCAAAATTCCAGGCAAATTTGCCTGGAAAACAGTTGAAGGGATACCTATTTACATCACAAAAAATCTACATCTTACACATCTTATAATACCTCTATAAAACTTTATACTTATCCAGAACTCACCTAGATTTGTATAAAATTTTCAAATCTAGGTGAGTCTTGGCCACTCTAGTAGGTTTAGGTCACAGATAAATTAGTTTAAACTCTTATTTTTGCATATAATTTATATTTATTTATTATTATACAAGTTAAGTTTTTTATATAATTTTATTATGTAACTACATATATAAATTATTCAATAAAGATATGAGCAAGGCCTCACCTTAATATTAAAAAAAATAAAAATAAAAAAAAAAAAAAAAATTTATTACCTCCAGCAACAAACACATGACCTGTTTGATATCTATTTACAATCCTTTCATTAATTCTGAAATTGGAAATCTATACAAGATTCTTTAGTTCCATTTTAATTGGAGCAATTCTTTCATCAAATATTTTCTGCAGTTTATCAATTGTAATGGGCTTTTTATTTGTGAGTCCATGTGTAACACCATTGTTAGTATCATGTTTATCCTCTTCGTTAGCAATTTTGATAACTATATGATAAGTATTTTTCCTAGCATCCAATGGTATAATCACAAGTGGTCCTAATAGTGTAATATAGTATAATTTATAAACTTATTTATTTAGATGAAAGTGTAACATACAGTATTATAAATAATGGTATCTTCACCAAGAGAGAAAGCGGTTGCTTGGTTGTATCTAACTAATTTATGTTTAATTTCTACGTCAGCTAAGGCCCATGAAGATTTCAAAGTTTGACCTAGGGGTAAAAAAAATATATATTTTAATGAATTATAAAGTATTACTAAAAAATAGTCATATAGGCGGATTTCGGAATTAGTTTTGAATTGATTATCAATTGTATCCTCAAAGTTATCTGCAAAGTAAACCTGAATTTTGCAGCAAACAAATATACATACTGTACATATAAAGATAATTTAAGGGGTAAATAAATACAATAACATTGTAATTGTATCCTTAAATTATCTTTATATATACGTTTGTTTGCTAAATACAAACTTTGGGTTCATTTTGCGGATAACTTTGAGAATACAATTTAGAAAAATTAATTAAAACTACATATTTATTTAATTGCACCTTGATAAGTCTAGTCACTTATTTCTTTTCTGACACCAGAATATACACTATCGCATTCTACCAAATATTGACAACGAATTTCTTCTTCAACATTATTATTTAAATTCTTTATAATAGCAATAATATAGTCATTCTCTTCTTTGTGACTCAACAGTTCCATGCCAAATTCAATATTAGAAACATTTTTCTTTCCTATTGATTTCTTTTTATATAGAGCATCAATTAGATAATTATTAGTTTTATTTTGACAGACCATTAATCCAATGGGAAAGGTGATGTTTATGCTATTCATGTTGACTTTAAGCGGGGTTACTAATGTTTGAAGTGCTTTGGTATATATAAAAATCTTTCACTTTAACACCATGTTCCAAAAATGGTCTGATAAGATCCCTAAAATAAATAAGAAAATATGAAGAAAACAAATATATTTATTGAAATTAAAAAATGAATACCGTATATTTCCGAAAATAAGCTACCATTTTTGGGCAAAAAATTACACAAAAATTTCAGGAGTAGCTTATTTTCGAGTAATAGAGTTTTTTATTAAGTAAACGTAGTTTTTATATATAAAAAAGTAGTTTCTATATATATGTCAAAATTGTAATAAGTAAATCGGTAAAAGTAGCTTAATAAAAGTTGTTCAGAATTTAAAAATACATTTATTTTGAAAGTTTTATACAAGGTTAGGGTCCCATGGCCTAGTGGTCTAGGCGCCTAACCCTCCACAGACGAGGTCAACGGTTCGATTATAGCTGGTGGTAATTAATTTAATT